AAGATGCTAAGCGCAGAAAACCCGGGTCAGCAGGAATGGCCAGTCACCGACTGTGTGGACTGGCTGCTGCGGCTTGAGGAAGTGCCTCCTGCCACAAGTATCCCGTCATTGGTTGCAGGAGTCTGCAAGGTCGGAGATTTGATTTACCAGCCTGCTGGTTATGTCATTATCGACAAGGCTTGTGTCGAAAACAATGTGTCGCTGACGCTTGGCTGCATTATGTGGCTGAAGCCGTAGGGTTTTTCCACAAGTGTTCCATGGTTCGTGGATTTTGCAAAGAGTCAGGAGGCTACCAATGATGCTATTCCCACCGACCATTCGAGACAGCTTTCAGCTGTACATGCACTACCACCCGAAGGCGCACCTCAACCCGTTTAGCCAGCTCTGCAAGATGCATAACGATGGCAAGTTCCAAGCAGATGAGGCAGCATGGTGAAACTTGCAGGGGTCTCAAAATACACATGCCATGATGAATTGAGTTCACTTCTGTAAGCTGTCCCTAGACCACAGGACCCCACAGATGATGAGCACACGGGGATGCCAGCCCTCGGAATGCCGATCAAGAAAGAGCAATCGGCCAATCGGCCTTTGGAAGCAGTGCCAGCAGAGACACTTGATGAGAAAGTCTTGGGGGAGCCACACCCCAAGCCCTCAGAGGGCCAGACCCAGTTGAATGCAGACGCAAGCAAAATGTCGCGAACCGATTTGCTGCTCACCTTGACCGACCGCCAGCTCCTTGATTTGGCGGCGGTCATCAAGCAACACGATGGGATGCCGGCCTACATGGACTACGTTGTCAATTGCATGGGCGCCGACGATGATTATGAATATGGCCATCCAGACAATGACACGTTATTGGAAATCGAGGATTTCATGGATTTTGCGGAGGGGAAAGGGATGAGTTTTTGCCTTGCCACTGCTCTGGATGCAGCTGAGGCTGTTGGCGTGTGAGATAGTTTTCCGGCTAGCTGCATACCGTGTAATGCCCATCCTCCTTGTTCTGTTGTTGTTACGCAAGCTGACCAGGCTGCTGCGGTTGCCAGGGCTGCAGAAGCTCCGCCTACACTGACGGTCGAGTCCCAAAGCCCAGTGGCCGAGGTGGCCATGGAGGCAACGGTAGATACCACCACCGCCTTGAAACCATGTGGCTGCAAATGCTGGGTCTACTCATGCTACTATTACTTATATTAATTATTATTACTTCTTGACAGGCTGCAACAGGCGACGGGCAGACTGCTGAGGTGGAAGGCAATCACGACAAGGACAGGGTTACGAGTTACTCTATGGGATTTCACATTCGTAGTAACAAATCAAATCCGAATTTTGTGCACACCAACTGTGCTGGAGGATGCCAAACCTGCTCCACAGGCTCCAGAGTTTCCAGAGGACAAGAAAGACGATACCGAGGACAAGACATTTGTAGCATTACCCAGACCCCTGGGAGGATCCCCCAAAATGGTACCCAATACTACTATTAGGTAATTTCTAGGAACCCTTTAGGGGGATCTACTTTCTAGATCCGCCCAGGGGTCTGGGTAGTAAGAACTGCGAATTTTGCGCACACCTACTGTGTATTGTTGTAGGACAAAGGAAAGGGTGCAAACATCATGGCCAACATCGAGGATGCAAAGCCTGCTCCAGAGGCTCCTGCTCCAGAGGATCCAGGGGACAAGAAAGACAATGCCGAGGACAACACATTTGTAGCATTAGCAAGAACTGCGAATCTTGCGCACACATACTGTGTTTTGCTGTAGGACAAAGGAAAGGGTGCAAACATGATGGCCATTATCGAGGATGCAAAGCCTGCTCCAGAGGATCCAGGGCACAAGAAAGACAATGCCGAGGACAAGACATTTGTAGCACCCTAAACCCTAAACCCTAAACCCACTAGTAAGAACTGCGAATCTTGCGCGCACCGTTTTGTGTTTTGCTGTAGTGCTCAACATGATGGCCGTCGAGGATGCAAAGCCTGCTCCTGCTCCTGCTCCAGAGGATCCAGAGGATAAGAAAGACAATGCCGAGGACAAGACATTTGTAGCATTAGCAAGAACTGCGAATCTTGCGCGCAACTACTACTGTGTTTTGCTGTAGGACAAAGGACAGGGTGCAAACGCGATGGCCAACGTCGAGGATGCAAAGCCTGCTCCAGAGGATCCAGAGGGCAAGAAAGACGATGACACCGAGGACAAGACATTTGTAGCATTAGTAAGAACTGCAAATCTTGCGCACACCCACTGTGCTTCGTGGAAGGACAGAGGAAAGGGCGCAAACGTGGTGGCCAACGTTGAGGATGCAAAGCCTGCTCCTGCTTCAGAGGCTCCCGTCGAGGACAGTAAAGAAATTCGTTGCCCCCGCGCAATGTAGTGGGCTGGAAACTCATCAGGAGAAAGACCAGATGGCCGAGATCCAGCGTGTAGAGCCTGCCCCGTCTATTCCGATAGATAAAGCCGACGATGAGGACAGAGCGCGTGCGTAAATACGCCCATTGACCCTGCTGCGCTGAAGGACGAGGAGTTTTGGAACAGTGCACTTGCTGAGGGTGCTGAGGATGCTGAGGATGATCTGACCATTCCGATCGAGGCTGCTACCCGAAATACGGCTTAGAGGGATTTTGGATTTAAGGGTTTTAAGGCTCGGGGAATTTAGCCTTTAGGTGTCCGGTCTGTTATTACGCCTCATCGATTGGATTTTGACTTTTGAATTAAGGAGGGTATAGGCCTAGGAAGTTTAATGGGGCTTGTTCAGGGTGGCGGGAAATGTTTGGGGCTTGTTCCTCAGTGCCTTGATTGCATAAAAGCTGGCCGCTGGAATTAGACCCTAGCCTTAGCACTGGCGCTCCATCACACATTGTACCCAGGTACCCTCAAAGAAGTCCAAAAAGGACAAGAACAAGGACGCTGACAAAACAAAAAGCACTGACAAGAAAAAGGAGGCTGACAAGAAAAAGAAAAAAAAGAACGAGAATGTCCAGAGCCAAGTGACGAAGGACGGTGCGCAAGCGCTGGCTCAGTCTTTCAAAACAGGACCACATTTGTAGCTTAGCCCACACCCCCATACCCATAAGCCTTCCCCCGCACTGCTGGCAGGAGCTTCTTCCGCGTCCAAGAAGTGAGACGGCTTTGACAAGCAAGGCATCATGGGCAGGCCCTCATGTATCAGTACTTCTTTTACAGAAGCTTGCGCGCGTATCTACCCTGGCATGTGCCAACAGCTTGATGATGCGTTGCTTCCGTAGTCAGAGACGACGTCTAGGAATCCTTGATCCAGCAATGCATTGCTAGCAACATGCTAGAAGGAAAACAGATGTGAGTTACTGCAAGTTGTTGTTGTTGGTTTAGGGGTTACCTGTGACCCCAATTACCTACAGTTTTATGGGTATTATACCTACTAATTAGGGGCTATTGCTACTAAACTGTAGGTAATTGGGGTTACAGGTAAACCCTAAACCTTAGACCCTAAACCCCTAAACCCCTAAACCCCAAACCCCTAGACCCCTAAACCCTAAGGTGCATTTTCAAATGCACGTTTTTGATGTCATGCAGCCTTCTCCTGATACCTACATTTCTAGGCTCAGCGTCGGCACTTGGCCACCTGAGACTTTCCATGTAAAACTGTAGGTAATTGGGGTTACAGGTAAACCTTAGACCCTACACCCTAAACCCCTAAACCCTAAACCCTAAGGTGCATTTGCAAGTGCACGTTTTTGATGTCATACAGCCTCCTCCTGATACCTACATATCTAGGCTCAGCGTCGGCACTTGGCCACCTGAGACTCTCCATGTAAAACTGTAGGTAATTGGGGTTACAGGTAAACCCTAAACCCTAGACCCGGACCCTAAACCCTAAACCCCTAAACCCCTAAGCCCTAAACCCTGAGGTGCATTTTCAAATGCACGTTTTTGATGTCATGCAGCCTCCTCCTGATACCTACATAT